CCTACACTTTGAGCTCAAAGTCCCCGACTTGGAGTGGGGGTGGGGGGGGGAGGGGGGTTGGTACCTGGGTACTTTGTCCTTGGCCGCTGCTTGAGCTGATCCCGGGACTGATTTCGACTTGACTGTCGGGATGATTTTCGGGCTGATTTGGAAGTGATTTGAGACGAGGAGAGTCGCTATGGTTCTGGCAGAGTATGAGGCGTCACTGACTGGATTTGGTGCTTTGCCTACATTTGCATCGGGGCAGAGGTGGGGGGAGGGGGTGGGGGTGGAATGGGAGCTATTGTGGGCCAGAGCTTGAAAGGCTTCTGTTCATCCCTTTATCAGCGTCGATCGAAACAGAGACCGCAACACGGAGAGAGAACAGGACCCCAGAATAGCCTTGTGGTCAACCATCTGCTCCCAACCACACTCCGTCACCTCTCCTACACCCCCTGTATCCCCCTCTCCCACACCCCTCTATTCTCGACCCTCTTCCCCTCTCCCTTGGGTCGAGATCAAGTTTCCTCTTAAAGGCCTTGAAGTTTTGTGCTTCGAGCACAGCCGTGGGCAGTGGGTTCTGCTTTCACTCTCCCTGTGGGTGTGAAGACGTTTACAGTGAACTCTGTGTGAGGTGAGTTACTGACTCACCTGCATTTGACAGCCCCTCGATTCAACTCTCCAAAGTGTAGAAACAGTTCCCATTAACATCCGCCTCATCAAATCCTTTGACAATCTTCAACCCCTCCATCAGTCCCCTCTCAAACCCAGAGAAAAAACATAAGACGTTATAGAATAATAATAATAATCCTTGCATTTGATACAGCGCCTTATCACGTCTTCTAGACAACAACAACAACAACAAGATTCCATTTATAGAGCGCCTTTCACGTCGGGAGGACGTCCCAAGGCGCTGGACAGTTGGGTCAGGACCCGAGCATTGGGGGAATGGTCAGGGTGAGGGAGGGAGGGAGGGGGTAGAGAGTCGAGAGAGGAGCTGAAGGCTGAAGGTCAAAGAGAAAGGTCTTGAGACCGGCCTTGAAGGAGGAAAGGGAAGAAGCGGCGAAGGCACTGGGGATGGAGTTCCAGAGCCTCGGGGCTGAGAGGCTGAAGGCCACCGATGGTAGGGCGGTTGGGGCGGGGGATGTGGAGCAGACCGGAGCCAGAGGAACGGAGGGTACGGGCAGGTAAGTAGGGGGATAGTAGGTCGGAGACGTCTCAAAGTGCTTCACAGGATATACTGTACAGTGTAGTGACTGTGTATTTGTGGACGAAATGTGACAGCCAACCAATTATTATTTTTTTGAAGGGAACCCTGGAAAAGCGATCTGCCAGTCGACTAACAACTGGGTTCCTACTGACTGCCGGGTAAACAGAGGTTTGTAGAATAAGGAAGCTTGCCCAAGGTTTGGCCCTGACCAGCCCGGGAATCAAACCCGGCTCCTCTCGCTTGCGAGGCGAGAGCACTGACCTCTAAATTACAGGACTTTACAGGGACTGTAAGACCGTTTGTACATCTAATATTAAAAAAACATTCCGGGGGTAATAATCCCTCCAAAAAAATAATAATTTGGTCACAATATCCACAGCTGTTTGTGGGGCCGCTGCTGCGTGCAATTGGCTGCTGTATTTCACCCACAAAGTATACAGTCACTGCACTTTACAGTATATCCCGTGAAGCGCTTTGAGACGTCTCGAAGACGCGATCAGGCGGCGCTGTATCAAATGCGAGGATTATTATATTATCATAACAATGTCCTGGCTCAGAGGAGAGAGCGACACACACACACATACACAAAACGCACCCCACTTACCCCCTGAAATAACAACAACAACTTGCATTGACACAGCGCCCTTCACGTGGGCTTGACAGTGGCAGAGTCTGACCCCGAGGCAGTTTGGGGTGTGGGGGTTAGGGAGGGGCACCGAGGGCATGAAGGGATTTGAAAATGAATGAGAAATACTTACACACCCTTTCGCTCCCCCCCCCCCCCCCCCCCCCCCCCCCACCGCTTTCCTATCGTGACTGAATCTCGGGGCTCGTGAGCAAATCGCAAACATTCAAATAACGCCGCTTTGAAAGTCAAATCTCCTAACGTTTAAATCATCAGCAAACAAATTATTGGGGAAGGGAGGAGTAGAGGGGTTTGGGGGGGGGGGGAAATTCCACAGAAAATAAACCAAACGCTACTTTGAGACGTCCCTGACTGTGTTCTGCCCCCAACCTAGGAGTGACCTCCAGTAAAACACAGTCACTACACTTTCAAAATATTCTGATTATTATTTTACTGCGAAACGTAGTGACTGTGTGCTTTGTAACAATAACAATAATAGTCCTTGCGTTTGATCCAGTGCCTTATCACATCGTTGAGGCGTCTCAAGGCGCTTCTTCATGGGTTATATTTTGATGCAGTAACGGAGAGGGTGGACGGAGGTGGTGCAGTTGATGCCGTTTATACGGATTTTTAAAAGGCGTTTGATAAAGTGTCACATAATAGGCTTATAGCAAAATAGAAGCCCATGATACTAAAGGGACAGTGGCCGCAGATACAGAACTGTTTGGGAGACAGAGAGCAGAGAGTGGGGGTGAACGGTTGTTTTTCTGACTGGAGGGCAGTGTGCAGCGGTGACCCCCAGGGATCAGTATTGGGACCACTGCTGTTTTTGATCTATATAAATGTCCTGGACTTGGATATAGGGAAGTTTCCAAGTTTGCATATGATACTAAGCTGGAAAAGCAGTAAACAGTGAGGAGGACAATAGCCGACAGCAAATGGACATAGACAGACTGGTAACATGGGCAGACACGGGGCAGATGAAGTTTAATGGGGAGAAATGTGATGTATTTCGGAAGGAAGAATGAGAAGCAATATACGCTGATGGTACAGTCTTAAAGCGGGTGAAGGAACAGAGAGACCTGGGGGTCATATGAGGAAATCTCTGAATGTGGCCGGACAGGCAGATACAGCTGTTAAAAAAGCAAGAAGTTATGATGAACCTTTATATAAAACACTGGTGAGGCCTCAGCGAGAGACTGTGTGCAGTTCTGGGCCCCACACTTTAGGAAGGATGTCAAGGCATTGGAGAGGGCGCAAAGGAGATTGACCAGAATGGTACCAGGAATGAGGGACTTCAGTTATCGGGAGAGGCAGAGAAGCCGCAATTATTGTCCTTGGAGCAGAGAAGGAGGGGATTCGATCGGGCGATCAAGGAGAAACTATTCCCACTGGCGGGCGGGTGGGTAACCCGAGGGCACTGATTTGAAATAGTTGTTAAAAGATACAGAGGGGAGGGGAGGAGAAATGTCTTCACACAGCGAGTTGTTGAGATCTGGAGTGCAGTGCCTGAAAGGCCGGTGGAGCCGAGTCACTAACAGCTTTTAAGAGAGAAGTAGATAATTATTTGCGGAGGACAAGTTTGCAGCGCTATGGGGAGAGAGTGGGGGAGTGGGGTTGATCAGGGCTATGGGGAGAGAGTGGGGGAGTGGGGTTGATCAGGGCTATGGGGAGAGAGGGGGGGAGTGAGGTTGATCAGGGCTATGGGGAGAGAGCGGGGGAGTGGGGTTGATCAGAGCTATGGGGCGAATGGCCTCCTCGTGTGCTGTATAATTCTATGATATTGTGAAGTGCAGTGACTGTGTGTTTTGTGGGCAAAATATTTTTAATAATTTGGAAAAATTATTTTGAGATCTGATACAACTACAGCACTGGGCGAGAAATCAAGAGGATGAGTTGAGTTTTTATTTTCTTTGACCGGCCGGGCGTCTGACACACACGGAGACCCGTCACCGTGACCGGCCGGGCGTCTGACACACACGAGACCCGTCACCGTGACCGGCCGGGCGTCTGACACACACGGAGACCCGTCACCGTGACCGGCCGGGCGTCTGACACACACGGAAACCCGTCACCGTGACCGGCCGGGCGTCTGACACACACGGAGACCCATCACCGTGACCGGCCGGGCGTCTGACACACACGGAGACCCGTCACCGTGACCGGCCGGGCGTCTGACACACACGGAAACCCGTCACCGTGACCGGCCGGGCGTCTGACACACACGGAGACCCGTCATCGTGACCGACCGGGCGTCTGACACACACGGAGACCCGTCACCGTTGCTTGAGTGTCTCCAAACCCAATTGAGAATTCCCGGCCTCCGCCCTACACATGGAAACCTGAGAGATTGTGTGTCAGAGACAGACACCGCGTGTTGGGAGAGAAAGCTGGTGAGGTGTGAGCCTTGGTGTGGTTGGTTATCACGGGTTTAACTGTAGGATTGCACAGGGAGACCCACTGTGAGGAATTAAAACAGCTTCGTGAGCTGATCACAGCTCGAGCCCGTGGGTCCCACGGCTTCCTGAATTACACTGTAATAATAATAATAATCCTTCCATTTCACACAGCGCCTCATCACGTCTTTGCGACGTCTCAAAGCGCTTCACAGGATATACAGTCAAGTGCAGTGACTGTATGTTTTGTGGGTGAAACGCGGCAGCGTCCCCTCAAACAGCCGTGGACTGAGTGACCAAATTATTACTATTATTATTATAATTGTGTTGCCTCTCCTCCCACCCCCCGCCCAGCGACCAACACACAAACGGAAGCAACGTTGCAAATGGTTTAATTTTTTATATCGAGTACTTTTTCTCAAAGAGTTAGAGACGCGCGCACAGGGGCGCGCGCGCACACACACACACACGCGCACACACACAAACACACGAGTTGTATTTGTTTTTTTTTGCTGCATAGATCGATCGATTATAAAAATTAGAAAATAAAAAAAAAAATTGATGTTTGGTGGCTTTTGCAAGCCAAAGGCAGTCGGCAGAGCTCAACAAGGCGATTGGTTTTGGCTGAGTTTTTTTTTGGGGGTGGGTGGGGGGGGGGGGGGGGAAGAGGGGAGTGGGGCAAGATTTTTTTTCCCCCTAAACACTTTTCAAAAAGTTACAAACTCGCTCACAAAGTTTTAAACACGAGGAGTGGGAGGTTAAGGGGGCGCGTAAGGGGCTGAAGGAAAGGAGAAGGAGGGTGGGGGGGGGGGGGGCGGTTGTGAGGCGTCCAACCTTTTGGCTGCTGAAGGCCGGATGCCCTATTTGAGATATGTCTGTGGGCTGCGTAAGAAATATTTCCGCGTTTCCCTCCAGAAACATAACGTAACATATACGCGTTATGGAGGGAGCCGGGGTGGGGTCGGTGGGTGGGTTTGCTGGCTCGGGGTGGGGGGGTGGGGGGGGGGGGGAGGTGACAGATGAAATGGAAATGGAGAGGAAGGGGGATAAAATCAGTCCGTGGGCCGGATGCGGCCCGCGGGCCACCAGTTGGGCAGCCGCACGCAATCGAAAGAGAAAAAATTAAAACTGCACTTTTTTTAGGTGCCTTTAAAAAAGGGGGGAGGGAGGGTTCAGGGTTAATACTTCTGGCACAGTTAATAAAAAATGTGGCAGATTTTAAAAGAGTATAAATCTCTCCCCACACCCACACACAACCCCACTATCCCCCCCCCACCAGCCCGTGCCCACTCCCCTACCCTCCGCAGGAAGAGGAAAAAAAGCACCTTTATAAAATATTGCTTCCGTCTATTTTTCGACCCGTCACCATTACACCAACAGCCGTCAAGTCACATCACGTCACTTCAGGGGCTCTTTTAAGTATCGGGAGTTTGGGGTTCAAAAGAGTGCCGAAGTCACCGGTTCCTCCCCACCTCATCCACAAGCCCCCCACCCCAATGCCCCCACCCTCTCCACCCCCCCCCCCCCCGAAAACAGATCGCCTTAGCAAAACTGCTCCTTCCTGTTCTTTGTCCATATAACGTGGCACTGACATACCTGGGGATGGGGTGGGGGGGGGGGGTTGGTGGGGGAGGGATGGGTGGGGGGGCGCTAGGGGCTGGGCGGGGGGTGGTGGGGCGAACGGTTTCAATGGACGCTGTCTGACGGTTTAAAAACAATGGCGGTCGGGGGGGCGGGGGGGTGGGGTGGGCTCAGGCGATGGATGAGGAGGGAACACACTCCCTCACCCCCTCTCGCACTCCCTCTCCTCTCGCCTCCCCCCTCCACTCCGGTTGCTAGCTGGCCTTTAGCCTCTCCAGGCCTGTGTACACATCCTCGGCCTGGCTCAGTCCCTCGAACACAGGGATCAGGCTCAGCAACTCTGTGTCTGACATGTCGTCGAACCAGGACATCACTGGGACCTGAAACACAGCAAGGGGTGTGGGGGGGGGGGGGGGGGGGGGGCGGGGAGTGAGGGGTTAATAATCATCACAATAATTAATAATAATCCCTGCATTGATACAGCGCCTTATCACGTCTTCGAAACCTCACTCTCCCCTCGTCTGTGCCCTGTTCGGGCAGACGTTAAAGAACCCACGGTGCTATCTGAAAAGAGAAGGGAGTTCCCCCTTCCCCCCCCCCACCCCCCTCTCTCTCCCCCCACCCGGTGTCTTGGCCGACATTCCCCCTTCCCCCCCCCCCCACCCCGATACAATAATAATAATCCTCGCATTTGACCCAGCGCCTCATCACGTCTTCCGAGACGTCTCAAAGCGCTTCGCAGGATACACTGTGAAATGCGGTGACTGTGTAATTTGTGGGCGAGACGCGGCAGCCGATTGCGCACAGCAGCGTCCCACGGACAAGACGTGGACTGAGTGACCAATTTTTTTGAGGGATTATTACTCCCGGGGAAAAGCGATCCGCCATTCGACTAACAAGTGGGTTCCCGCTGACTGCGGGTAAACAGGGGCGTGTGTGTGTGCGGGGGGTGGGGGGGGGGGAGGAGGAAGGAAGGAAACTTCCTGACCTGACCCGCCCGGGAATCGAACCCGGGTCCTCTCGCTTGTTACAGGACTCCACAAATGTACAGAACACGCAGTCAATCCCCTTGATGGTATACCCAGTGAAGCGCTTTGAGACGTCTCAGTTACCAGTGGAGCTCAGTGAAGAGTTCGTGACCGGCGCCTGGTGGCAGAGAGTGGGTACTGCAGCCGCCTCTCACCCTCACCCTAACCCTAACCCCCTCCCTCTGCCCTTCCGCCCCTCCTCCCCCACCCCGGTCTTGAGGGAGGCTGAGACCGTGAGAAATTCTGAGGGACGGAGTGTATTTGGGGTCGGAGCCCTGTAGCGCAGTTACGTTTGATATACAGCGCCTTGTCGTGTCTTTGAGACGTCTCAAAAGCACTCGAAGGCACAAAGTTGGGTTGGGGGGGTGGGGGTGGGGGGGGGGGGGGTGTTTCCCCGTTAAGCCAGAAGCCGTCTGATGGATTTAGAGACGAACGTGCGACCGAGCCCGGAACGAGAGCCAGCTCGCACTCACGGCGTTGCCGGGGTGAAAGACGTAGGAGGCCGGTGAATTGTCGACGATGATTATCTTGTTCAAGTCTCGTCCCAGGCGGCTCAGGTCTTTGACGTAATTGCCCTGATGGAAAACACAGGATTCCCTGAAGAGCCTGGTGCGGAATACACCCCATTTGTCAAGCAAATCTGTCACAGGGTCAGCATACTAGGGGGGAACCAAGGGCAAGGGTTAGGGTCAAGGGAAATTGGGGGGTAAAATAACAACAACATAAAACACACCGGGAAAAAAAAATCAGCGACAAACATCTCACGGCAAAGTGAAACCTTCCACTTTTAGTGCTTTGCTCAACATTTTTTTTGTAAAGAAAATACAAAAAAGTGTTTTTTTTAATAAACTGACTCAATTCCAACCCCCTCCCCCCGTTCCCCACCCATCTCCCCATCCTCCCCCCCCACACCCCGCCCCCATCCCCTGAGGAGCGGCTTCTGTCTATTCGCTGAAATAGTGAGGGGTAAATCTCTGCTCCCCTCCTTCCCCCGTTCTCCCCCACCCCTACCCCCCCCCCCCCCCCACCCCCGACAGGTCCACTGACCACGGAAGTTGCCATTCTCTTTCCTCATCGGGGCTGTTTAAGACACCTCAACGAGGATTTAGCAAACGCACAAAATTCCTCGCGATCTTTGCTTTAAGATGTACAATTTTTGCTGCAAAAATAAATGCCCCCTTTGCCCCCCAACCCCCCCAGTGGGGGAGCTACATATTTGTACCTAAATTCTTGTTATCAAAAAGGCTAATGGCCTTTCTCTCAAGAGGCTGGAATATAAAGGAGATGAAATTGTGCTTCAACTGTGCGTTCAGTTTTGGGCTCCACACCTCAGGAAGGATATATTGGCTCTGGAGGGGGTCACCAGAATGATACCAGGGCTTAAAGGGTTAAATTACGAGGCCAGGTGGCATTAACCTGGTCTGAATTCCCTCGAGTTCAGATGGTTGAGGGTTGATCTGATTGAGGTGTTTGAAATGATAAAGGGATTTGATGGGGGGGGGGGCTACAGAGAAATTATATTCTCTGGTGGGGTCGGGGGGGGGGGGAATCCAGAACAAGGGGGGCATCATCTTAAAATTAGGTCATTTAGGGGTGAAATCAGGGGCAGTTTTTCCCCCAAAGGGCAGTGGGAATCTGGAACCCTCTCCCTCCCCCAAAAGGCTGTGGGTTATGGTGGATCCAGTCACAATATCCAGACTGAGGTGGAGATGTTTGTCAGGTCAGGGGATCAGGGGATACGGGGCAAAGGGGGGTAATTGGGGTTGAGGTACAGATCAGCCATGATCTTAAAGAATGGGGGAACAGGCTCGAGGGGCTGAATCTCCTCCTGTTCCTATCTTGACGTTGTTCTCAACGGTGGCCGCTCTTTCGGGCATTACACCCCGAAACTCTGGAGCTCTTCCTCTATCCCTCCCTCTGCCTTGCCCCTTCCTTCCTGCCCCAACTTCAGGCCTGAAGACTTGCCTCCGATCATCCTCCCCCTCCCCCGACCCCCGCCCCCTGCGTCGCGCTCTGGCCCTGGCGAGTGACTCTGGGCCGGACGCTGTGTAAAAAGGCAAGTTGTTGTTGTTGGTGGTGGTGGGTCGGGTGGTACCTTGGCTAAGCTGGCAGTGAACAGCACACACTCAAACAGCTCCCCCATCCTGCTCAGAAAGTCGTCCACATACGGTCTCTTTAGCACGTACACCTGGGGGGGAGAAGATGGGGGTGGGGGGGGTGGGGGGGGGGGGGAGAGGAGGTGGGGGAGGGTCAGGGTTACCAAGGGAACGGGCTCCGCAGCACATCACACCCACCCACCCACTGCTCGGTCCCAACTCCTCCGCTCCCCCCCCCCACTCCCTCGCCCCCGTATGCACACCCACCCCCACCCTCACGGGGAGGGGCAAAGTCAGGCTCCGTCATTCAGCACCGCCCCCCCCCCGCCCCTCCCACATTCGCCCCTCACCTTCCACGCTGACCGACCCCAATATTCCCCAATCCGCCCCCACCCTACGCCCCCCACTTTCCTGGCCCCTAAAACCTCTCCCAATTTCCCCTCTTTTCCGGTGGGGGAGGGAGTGAGGGGTTCAAGTCTTGGTCGATAACGTCCGGAATCTTCTTCGCCCGTGTCCGGCGGTTGTGGGGGTGGGGGTGGTGGGGGGGGGGGAGAGAGTGACTGTGGGGGGGGGTTGGTGTGAGGATAACAGCCCCTCCTGAAACAAGTAATGGAGAATAGGCCCGGCCATCGTCACACAGCCTATCCTGGATTACTTGAACCAGGAAGCAGCCAAACATCAGGAGGGATTGGAGGAAACTCCGGCAGAGAGAGGGGGAGAGAGTGAACGAGAGAGAGAACGAGAGAGAGAGAGAGAGAGAGAGAGAGAGAACAAGAGAGAGAGAAGATGAGGGCGATCGAGAGAGAGAACGAGAGCCAGAGAACGAGAGAGAACGAGAGAGAGAACATGAGGGAGAACGAGAGAGTGAGGAGGTTCGTTCCACTTGTATCCGTTGATCCAACCTTGCCCCCCCCCCCCCGACCCGACCCCTGCCCGTCACCCAATCACACCCGCTCCGAGCCTTAACCCCGGGTATCCCGAGCCCTTGCCTCCGGGTCAGGAGTTTGTGGGTTCGAACCCCCTCCCCCCCAATCCTTGCCACCCCCTCGCTCGCTCGCTCGCTCGCTCCCTCCAACGTTGGGGAGACTGGTTTCACAGTCCAGACCTCACTCGCCCTCCCAATTCCCCACCACACCCCGGCCCCCTCCCACCCCGGCCTCCCTCCCCCCCGCCCAGAGCCCCACGTCATACCTGGTGTATCGTCCCCTCGATTTCAACGGGAATTATAAAGTCGGCGTTATCGATCGGCTGGAAGAGAAAGTCAGTCAGAGACTCCGGTCAGTTATTCGCACATTGGGGGGAAGGGGGGAGGGAGGGGCAGGGAAGGGGCAAAGGGTGGGGTGGGGGGGGGGAGAGGGGATGGGGCAGGAGAGGGGTTATCACTCTGTGCGCAATTGGCTGTTACCTTTCGCCCCAAAAATACACAGTTGGTGGGATTCCAGCCTGGAAATGCTCCCCCTCCACCCCCTCCACCCCCTCCCCGGGGGAATTCAGCCTCTCTTGCCCCCACCGCGGGTCCCGCCCTTACCTTAAATGAGCTGTGAACCAAAGTCTCGTCTAAATCAATGACGACACAGAACTTGCCCGTGTCCTGCCCGTCCAGGTCAGGTAAGAGCTGCACCTAGAGAGAGAGGGGGAGTGAGGAAGAGAGAGAGAGAGAGAGAGGGAGGGAGAGAGGGAAGAGAAGGAGTGAGGGGGACAGAGTGAGTGAGAGAGGGAGTGTGGGAGAGAGAGTGAGCGAGAGAGAGAGAGAGGAGAGAGAGGAGTGAGAGAGAAAGTCAGCAATAGATGAGAGGGGGTGAGGGAGAGAGAGCGAAAGAGAGAAAAAGAGAGAGGGAGAGAGTGCAATAACATCAACAACAGCAAAATCATCAACAACATCACCAACACCATCATCACCAACACCATCAACACCAACACCATCAACACCATCATCATCAACACCATCATCACCAACACCATCACCATCCAACACCATCAACACCAACACCATCAACACCAACACCATCAACATCATCATCATCGTCAACACCATCATCACCAACACCATCACCATCATCACCAACACCATCAACATCATCAACATCACCAACACCATCATCACCAACACCATCATCACCAACACCATCATCACCAACACCATCAACATCAACACCAAAACCACCATCATCAACATCATCACCATCAAATACCATCATCATCAACACCAACACCACCATAACACCAACACTACCAACACCATCATCACCAACATCATCATATCAACACCAACACCCTTATCACCAACACCACCATCAACACCAACACCATCATCACCAACACCACCATCAACACCATCATCACCAACACCACCATCATCACCAACACCACCATCAACACCATCATCACCAACACCATCATCACCAACACCACCAACATTAACATCATCAACACCATCACCATCAAACACCAACATATCAACACCAACACCATTATCACCAACACCACCATCAACACCAACACCATCATCACCATCAACACCATCATCACCAACACCATCATCACCAACACCACCATCAACACCAACACTACCAACACCATCATCACCAACACCACCATCAACAACCAACACTACCAACAACAACAACACCAACACCATCAACACCAACACCATCTCAACACCAACACCACCATCAACACCAACACTACCAACACCATCATCACCAACACCACCAGCAACACCAACAACATCATCATCATCAACAACAATCCCGCACACACCACTGACACAACACACCAGTAATACAGTAATACTCACACAGATCAGCACCTGCCCAAGTCCCGCTCAAGAGTTTATATTCCAGGCAACTTATACTTTACATGAAGTCATTTAAATGTCTGGTCCCAACCGATACAACTCATGTGAGGTTTACTGTAGCCACAACACAACAGGACCCAGCGAGCCACAGCATCTAACAACGGTGGCCTCCCCAACCCCCCCTCACCCACAGACACCCACACACACACGTGCACGCACACACGCGCACACGCACAGTATAAAGCCTGACGTACCTGTGAGTACTGATACTGGAGAGCCTGTAGTAGGTTAGACTGTTTTGGAGACAGGAGAAAAGACAGCAGTCAGTCTGTGTGTGTGTGTGGGGGGGGGGGGTGGGGGGGGAAATCCTTCAGCCCATTGATCTTATCATATTCTCTCCCCCCCCTCTGCGCATCTACCTCTAACATCACGTCTTAAATACAGTCACAAAATACAGTCACTGCACTTTGCAGTATATCCTGTGAAGGACACGGTGTGAGGTGGAGTGACTGTGTTTTGTGACGTCTCAACGACTTGATATGGTTCTTTGTTAAACACAAAGATTATTATTATTATTATTTTGACGTGTCTTCACCCATATCAGTCCACACCAGGGCACTAATGGCCTCCACATTCCCCCCTGTCCTGCTTCCCCCCCACCACCTCCACCCCACACGCAAGTCAGACATTCCCAATCCCCGCTCGGGGAAAAGCCCCCCCACTCTCTCTGCAGAGGAAGGAATAATAATCCTCGCATTTGATACAGCGCCTTATCACGTCGTCGAGAAAGTAAAGTGCAGTGACTACGTATTTTGTGGGCGAAACGCAGCAGCCGATTGCGCACAGCAGTGTCCCCACGAACAGCCGTGGACTGAGTGACCAATTTTTTTTGGAGGGATTATTACCGCGGGAAAGGCGATCCGCCATTCGACTAACAAGCGGGTTCCTACTGACTGCTGGTAAACAGGGGGGGGGGGGTGCGTGTGTGCGCATGTGTCTGTATGTGTGTGTCTGTGTCTGTATGTGTGTGTGTCCGTGTGTGCGCATGTGTCTGTATGTGTGTCTGTGTCTGTATGTGTGCGTGTGTGCGCATGTGTCTGTATGTGTGTCTGTGTGTGTGTGTGTCCGTATGTCTGTGTGCGCATGTGTCTGTATGTGTGTGTCTGTGTCTGTATGTGTGTGTGTGTGTCCGTGTGTGCGCATGTGTCTGATGTGTCTGTATGCGTGTGTCTGTGTCTGTATGTGTGTGTGTCCGTGTGTGTGCGTGTGTCTGTATGTGTGTGTCTGTGTCTGTATGTGTGTCCGTGTGTGCGCATGTGTCTGTATGTGTGTATCTGTATGTGTGTGTGTCCGTGTGTGCGCATGTGTCTGTATGTGTGTGTCTGTGTCTGTATGTGTGTGTGTCCGTGTGCGCGTGTGTCTGTATGTGTGTGTCTGTGTCTGTATGTGTGTGTGTCCGTGTGTGCGCATGTGTCTGTATGTGTGTGTCTGTATGTGTGTGTGTCCGTGTGTGCGCATGTGTCTGTATGCATGTGTCTGTATGTGTGTGTGTCCGTGTGTGCGCATGTGTCTGTATGTGTGTGTCTGTATGTGTGTGTGTCCGTGTGTGCGCATGTGTCTGTATGCGTGTGTCTGTGTGCGCGTCCGTGTGTGTCTGTATATCTGTGTGCGCGCAGTAAGGAAATTTGCCTAAGGTTTCGCCCTGAGCTGACCCGCCCGGGAATCGAACCCGGGTCCTCTGGCTCGCGAGGCG